TGAATATATATGTAAAGCGAAAGTATTTATAAAGCAATAGTATATCTCTTCTCCATGTAAGGTCATTACCATAACAAAAGCTTTTCATTACCGACATGCTCTGTTCATTACCATAACACTTCCTTAATAAGTTAATATTTGGATAGGAATATGGAAAACCTTCAAATTTTCATTTTGTACAGGAAATGTTTGGTATGTCTGTTCATATTTTAAAATTGTCTTTTTTCAATCAATTGTACAATTTACACCACAGTAAAAGTCAATGTGTGGAACATAAAATTGTGTTACGGTAATGAAGTTAATAACTAAAATTATTATATTATTATATATTTACCTGAATTATTACACTATGTAACTACTTGTGACTATTGACAGCAGCATACGTTAAAAAATAAAATGCCAAACATTTACTCAAATATTTAGTTATCATCAATTGAAAATGTGTTACGGTAATGAATTTATTTGGTCAATGACTCGTTAAAACTCTCTAAAAATGTGTTTTAAAACATATACAGAACTTTTCTTTTACTAGGGCTAGTTCATTTAGAACCTGGTTGATACTAATGAGAACAATTATTTTCAAAATCTGCATCGAACTGTTTTGGCTCATGTTACACCAAGTTCGTGAGAATTCTGGGCACATATCTTTAGCGATGTGAAATGTAATGGCACCTGTAATATCTCTGTGTCTCTGCGAGCTCGTCGCGTAGGCCGTTGCTCTGTACAATGCGTCCTGAATCGATGACTGTGATGATGTGGTGGATGAAGTCGAGCGGGCATCTGCTTTTTGTTGTATTACTGCGCGGTCGTATTGCACTTTGTGGTTGTATTTCAGATGATTAAAGAGATTGGTTGTGTTAGCGTGTGGTGCCAACACAACCTGGTAACAAATCCTGCACTGTACTTTATTTTGCTCCACGTCGGACTCCTGAAAGCCAAAGTACTTGCAAATAGTGGAAATAGTTTGACCCTTCTTTTTAACGAGTTACTGCTCTTGTTCTGACATCTTTGCTCGCGCTGAACACTCAGTCACTCCCACGTGGCCGAGTGGGCTTTTAGGGAGGGGCGAAAGCGCACCCAGCAAAATAATCGTATTTTGTCAATTATGCTGTTTTCATAATCGTCGCAAGCCATAATCGTAATCGCGATTAAAATACGATTAATTGCACAGCCCTAGTCGACAGTACCAGCAGCCAGCTCTCTGATGAAGTCTCTGAGCATTAGATTTTACTACCAAATCCTCAGCTACTTTACCATCCAAACACATGGCATTTGAGTGCAGAAAAAGAGTCAGTGTGTGCAATGTAATTGTAAGTGTGTGTGTGTTAGTGTACAGTATGTTGTATTCCTGCCAAGCTGCGGGCACGTCTTGCGTGCCTGGGAAGGAAAACAGCTCATAACAAAAGCCGAGCGAGAGGGCCAGAATGTGAATGGGTGTGTTTTGGACTTTACAATACTGCCTTTTTTTCCAACTGAATCTAGCGTGCTGGCTGACAGGTCGGCTGGACTAGACTGAGGCTTCACATGCAAGTGATGTGCACACAGAGAGCTGCTGCTGCACACACACACACACACACACACACACACACACACACACACACACACACACACACACACACACACACACACACACACACACACACACACACACACACACACACACACACACACACACACACACACACACACACACACACACACACACACACACAATGTGCTTAGCTTGAAGCACTCAGGTGGAGAAGGGCCGGTCATATATTCAGACTCCATTTGGAGAACATGGCTTGCAGGGAACCTCTCCTGAGAGGTCAATGGGCATCTAGACACTCACAAACACACACATATACGCACACACACACACGCACATGCACACACACACACACACACACACACACACACACACACACACACACACACACACACACACACACACACACACACAGTCCCAAACCTCTGTTTAGGGGTTAACATACCGCCAACAGGCACTGTGCTAACCCTTGACCTTCACTAATGCTGTATGGAGGGGTGGTAGGGGAGGTAATGGGTGAGAAAAATGCTCACACATGAACCTGACCGCTCTGTTTTAGCTCTCTGTCTCTCTCCCTCCCTCTATTTGTAACTCTAAATCCATTCATCAAACAAAGAGAAGCTCAGTCAGTCACCCTGCCAGGCAACTGAAACAGCACACACACACACACACACACACACACACACACACACACACACACACACACACACACACACACACACACACACACACACACACACACACACACACACACACACACACACACACACACACACTCACAAACACACAACATAACCAACAATGTATTTTGAGGACATTTCTAACATTATGAAACACAAGCAACACCAGGAAGCTCTGCGGGGGATCCTTGCAAAAATATTACTGGGTTAATTCAATTTAAATCAACAGTCAATGAGCTTTTCAAATGGTCTTGTATGTGCTTTCCATCAGGCTTCATTTTAAAGATATTCTGAATCAGGAACACATATAAAAGCCCAGCCCAGACCCCTGATGTTTCCATTCCCTTGATCTCCCCCACACTGCAGGACAGAGGTTTATAGCATGAATTATTGATTGTCCTCCAGACATCATCCTGTCCTTTCTTGTGTCACCCACAAAAAATGAAAATCGAACAACTGACACAGGAGTCCCACCTACGGTTGAGTCTGATTTGTGGCTCTATAAGGCTGTTGTGTGTTTTCTTTGTGTTTGTCCGCTGTATTGCTTTGCAGTGAGTAACAGTAATCACCACCAAACCTGAAAGCTGAAGCCAAAGCAAAAGTAGCATAAGATCAAGGACAACTAAAGGTCAGCAGTAGCTAGTTCGAAAACAATCTTTTTGTAACCTCCAAAGAAGATTGTCAAGGGGCAATTTTGTGAATGAGTGTTCCTTTAAGATGTCTTGGCTATACATTTAAGGAACCATATTCAATCAGATTTCAGTTTGACCTCAGGCAGAAAAATGCTCCAGGTATTAATCACAGTGGTAACGGATCTAGAGAAGCCAAACAATAGTGGGTTCATTTGAGGAACACATATTTTTTAAGAGGGGTTAATCAAAATGTCACCAGCACAACAACAAGCTTCTTAGAGGTACAACAACTTTTCAAACATCATCGATGAATTATCGCCACCTGAGCAGCCACCATAATCACAGCTACAGCCAATATGTTGACCCTGGCCTTAACAATGTTGACATCAGCAAACCAGTAGAAACTAACACACACACACACACACACACACACACACACACACACACACACACACACACACACACACACACACACACACACACACACACCACACACACACACACACACACACACACACACACACACACACACACACACACACACACACACACACACACAGACCCAGAGAAAACAACCTCAGCAGACTGCCGTGGCCCTAACAATCAACCACACACCTGCTGTATGACCTTTCTATCGTCCTCATAGAGCGTGATTGATCTGTCCACAGCGTTTTGTTTTTGCAGACGTTCACCAGGCTTGCTCAAAAGACAATAAGCCTCAATAAATCAGCAAGCTTTTTACCGTTTGTCTTGGGGAATTTATATCCAGATGAAATCTTGTTTACCATTCTGCCACTGTGATGAGCAGAAAGTCCCAGACACACCAAACTGACACCAAAGAACACGTCCCGACAGACCCGATTTTTGTGTCGCCTCACGTCTCCTGCGTCTTGGCCAACAGTCGCACTGGAACACACCGCAAAGACTTCAGCCGACGGCCAAGTAGCACGTACGCACTGCGCATGCGTGAGTGGCAATAACTCTCCTTACCAGCAGGCGGCGGTAGTGTATATTCGTCATTCAAAAGAGGCAACAACCGGAAGACAGACTGCGTGATACACCGAGAGAAGAAGAACAGACTGCGTGATACAAACAAACAACAAATAGCGTGTGCGTTCCATTTTCACTCTACAACGAGAAGCTCATGGGGCTTTCCCGAACCTGTGTCGAGAGCTGGAGTTCAATTAAATCTCAGATTTGCGTTTGTTTGGGTCCCTCACTTCCGTTTCGCTTCTCATGCACTGATTTGCTAAGCTGAACAGCCAATCAGATTGATTTATTTTGCCAACAGCCTCCCGATTCAACATGTTGAATCTATGGCGGAAGGTGTCGGCACGGCCGAAAAGACACAACAGTGCAGGACACACCAATCTGAGTAAGGCGACAGGACGCTCATCGACGGCCAGACATCTATCGATGCCGAAAATCGGCCTGGTGTGGCCTTAAGGGTCAACTGAGGTTATGTTTCGGTTGCCTAGCTAAATACAGCCTTCCAGAGTTGATCAAATTAAGTTTTTCTCTTTTAGACCCACACTTTTCATCTAAGAAAGAATGTTATTTTTCTATGCTTTCCGGGAAATATTGCTGATGTCGCAGAAACTGTGCAAACTGTTTAGTCCATATACACTAAACCAGAGCAGCCACACTGGGTCCAGCAGAGCAGGAATGCATCAAGAAAAACATCTCAAAACCACCATATATTGTTACCATGAACTCTGTACATCCAGAATGTAAACCAAACTAACAGAGAGTTAAGTTAAAGCTGTTATTTCATGCTTCATACTCAATTTATCTCAGCAGCTTGTGTAAGACGTTTATGTTTTCCATGTAATTCATAAACCAAATGTGTGTTTTCCAATGCAGTTTGTGGTGCAACGGGGAATGTCATGTTCCCAACGTGAGAAATGTATGAAAATACACTTGAGAAACAAACTTCAGGCACTGAGGACAAACATTTGAAATGATCCACATTTGTGTGCTACGCAAGAGTTAAAGCCATGTGAAATCATATTGACAGTATCATACTGTAACAGAATTAACCGTTACATACCAAAGCAGACACAAATGCTGCAAAGAGAAAGAATGGAATACTTTCTGTGTACAGTATGGTGTGTGTAAATGGGGAAAGGAGAACATTTGTGTGCATGTCAATTATCCTACCTGGTGCAGTCTGTATCTCCATGAGACCTCCTGTTGCAATTATAGCCTCCAAAATCCTGACGTGATGCTCTGGGTTTACATCCGCACTGTTGACAAAAACAATACATACGGTAGGTCAAATGTTTTAAGGTGCCACTGAACAATGTCCTGTATTAACATTTTTCCATTTAAATAAGTACTACTGTTTACTCATAAACAGCAGGAAGTTAGCCTGGTAAGGTTTTAATGGCCTGCAGAGTAGGACAGAACAAGTCAGATTGTATAGAAGTTGATGAGAAAATTATTTTATTTATTAATTCATAACACATTTTCCAAATTGGTTTAGTGTCTCAACCTTTACTTTCAAGTCTTCTGTGTTATTGACAAGTTACTAGTACAACGTTCAGCATTGGGTTTTTAGTACATAACAATCTAATGAGTTGGATTTATTTCATAGTACAATTAATAAATAATTTCATATCTCAATATCAGAGTTAATGTTAATAACAAGTGCACTTGCCTAACCAAGCAAGCAAATTAGCTAGCATTGGAATATTAACATAACACTAGAGTTAGATGTTATCTTAGCGCTAGCATTAGCTGAAATCTTAGCGTTTGTTATTCTAATGGTACCCCACCCTGCTAGGGCTCTCTACTGCCCAGCTTCAGCCTCTCATCCAAATAGGCCAGATAACAGCCACAAGGCCTCAAAACTGCAGTCCACAAACTAATTGTTGACCTCCTGGTCACTACATACACTTGTTTTTATACAGTCTATAAATAAACTAATGTGTGTGAAACATTTCACCCAGTGCAACAGTTTGTCACCATCATATTTGCCATATGGTAGAATGTGTGTGACTGTTTAAACACTTGCAGAAGGAAATCGAATCTTTAATCAACATTTCCCCACACACGAAATAAGCAAACATGGGATCAGGTTGAAAAAGCATAGCATGCTATGATACACCACTTTGATCTTTATCCGCCTGTTGTGCACGTCAGATATTAATTGATTGACCAGGCTATGAAAACAATCACTGCTTCTGACTCATTTCACTGCTTCCCCAAATCCAATATATCTAAACCGCACACAACATCACAAGGATAAATTCCTCAGTAATTTCTGGAAAAACAGACACAGACGAACTTGCGCAGGGTACAGAGAAATGAAACGATACCATCAGCCTTGTTAATGCCATTCTCTCAGTGTTCAAACATCCAGCTCTTAAACTGCAGGATGTTGATATAACAGCTGAGCCAAATCATTCTTGGTTTTTCTGTTAGCAAGGGTAGATCTTTTACAATAAAAATATAAAGATCCTTGTCTTGGATGAAAAAAATCTTGTTAAATTGACTGAGGTTTTTCATGGAACTGAGCAGTGGTTGATTTGTTGATAGACTTAAATACAAATATACACATTCTGCCAAAAATGTTGTTTAGATCTTTCAATAGAGGATTCACAAATGTAGATAAAAGGGAAATACCCTCTCCACCCATATGCTGGTGGACCTTTGCAAGAAAATAACTTATTTGAATTCATTTTTTACACAAAAAATGGTATGAGAAAATAATATTTCACAGCTGTATTTCATTGAATTACATTGTATAGTTTAATCTTTTGGGTTTTCTGTCACATTTTAGTTTTTTGACTTGAACTAAGATTTTTCAAAATTCTCCTACTGTACAACCTCAACATTTTTGGAAATTTAGCAGACGATTTGATTTTTTTTGTATTTAAATTTGAACTTAAATATATATATAAATGATTTCCCTTTTCTCCTATATGCATGATACTAAACCTCTTTAATCTTAACACTGCTTCATTTCCCACAGTTGGCCACCAATATCTAGCAATATGGTAATATGATATATATACTATAGGATCTGTAAATACAACGTATAGTTATAATTCACTGTGTTAAGAGCTATTTACCACATGCGACTTGAAGTTGACTCATTCCCATATCATAACTTAACCCTTTTTATCATAAATACCATTATATTATATGTTTCTAAGATAAGATATATTTAGGTTTCAAAGGGAAAGTTACAGCAAAGTTAAATATTTCAAAAACCAGCTGTTCAAAGAAAGGTTGCTACTTAAATGTTGTTAAATGTGTTCAGCTATGCACCTAGTGGAAGTTTCGTAGCTCACCTGGGTTTAATTTGAATAGATAATTAAGCAAATAAAATAAAAAATAATAAAGTCCATATAATAGAACACAATTTACGGCTTGGGGGTTAAAAAAAAATGCTGCAAAGTTTTATGATGTTAAATTACATGACATTGCATTTAAATCTCACCATGGCCAGGTACCAAAGGAAAAAAAGGCATTTTTATCATTAGGGTATCACATGGTTAGGTTAGTTTCAACAGACAGTAAACTGCTTATAGAGCCTAAGGCTTCAGTGCTGTTGCTACGGTTACCTGCATTACCTTGAGCCATGATTAAACATGAGGAGAATTACACTGAACACAAATATAAATGCAACACTTTTGTTTTTGCTCCCATTTTTCATGAGATGAACTCAAAGATCAAAAACATTTTCTATATACACAAAATAACCATTTCTCTCAAATATTGTTCACAAATCTGAAAAAATCTGTGATAGTGAGCACTTGTCCTTTGCCGAGATAATCCATCCCACCTCACAGGTGTGGCATATCAAGATGCTGATTAGACAGCATGATTATTGCACAGGTGTGCCTTAGGCTGGCCACAATAAAAGGCCACTCTGAAACGTGCATTTTTGCTTTATTGGGGGGGGTCTGAAAACCAGTCAGTATCTGGTGTGACCACCATTTGCCTCACGCAGTGCAACACATCTCCTTCGCATAGAGTTGATCAGGTTGTTGATTGTGGCCTGTGGAAAGTTGGTCCACTCCTCTTCAATGGCTGTGCGAAGTTGCTGGATATTGGAAGGAACTGGAACACGCTGTCGTATACGCCGATCCAGAGCATCCCAAACATGCTCAATGGGTGACATGTCCGGTGAGTATGTTGGCCATTCAAGAACTGGGATGTTTTCAATGTTCAGTTTTATCACACAGCACAATGCCACAGATGTTGCAAGTTTTGAGGGAGCGTGCATTTGGAATGCTGACAGCAGGAATGTCCACCAGAGCTGTTGCCCGTGAATTGAATGTTCATTTCTCTACCATAAGCCGTCTCCAAAGGCGTTTCAGAGAATTTGGCAGTACATCTAACCGGCCTCACAACCGCAGACCACGTGTAACCACACCAGCCCAGGACCTCCACATCCAGCATGTTCACCTCCAAGATCGTCTGAGACCAGCCACTCGGACAGCTGCTGCAACAATCGGTTTGCATAACCAAAGAATTTCTGCACAAACTGTCAGAAACCGTCTCAGGGAAGCTCATCTGCATGCTCGTCGTCCTCATTGGGGTCTCGACCTGACTCCGGTTCGTCGTCATAACCGACTTGAGTGGGCAAATGCTCACATTCGATGGCGCCTGGCACATTGGAGAGGTGTTCTCTTCACGGATGAATCCCGGTTTTCACTGTTCAGGGCAGATGGCAGACAGCGTGTGTGGCGTCGTGTGGGTGAGCGGTTTTCTGATGTCAATGTTGTGAATCGAGTGGCCCATGGTGGTGGTGGGGTTATGGTATGGGCAGGCGTATGTTATGGACGACGAACACAGATGCATTTTGATGGCATTATGAATGCACAGAGATACCGTGACGAGATCCTGAGGCCCATTGTTGTGCCATTCATCCACGACCATCACCTCATGTTGCAGCATGATATTGCACGGCCCCATGTTGCAAGGATCTGTACACAATTCCTGGAGGCTGAAAACATCCCAGTTCTTGCATGGCCAGCATACTCACCGGACATGTCACCCATTGAGCATGTTTGGGATGCTCTGGATCGGCGTATACGACAGCGTGTTCCAGTTCCTTCCAATATCCAGCAACTTGGCACAGCCATTGAAGAGGAGTGGACCAACATTCCACAGGCCACAATCAACAACCTGATCAACTCTATGCGAAGGAGATGTGTTGCACTGCGTGAGGCAAATGGTGGTCACACCAGATACTGACTGGTTTTCGGACCCCCCCAGACCCCCCCCAATAAAGCAAAACTGCACGTTTCAGAGTGGCCTTTTATTGTGGCCAGCCTAAGGCACACCTGTGCAATAATCATGCTGTCTAATCAGCATCTTGATATGCCACACCTGTGAGGTGGGATGGATTATCTCGGCAAAGGAGAAGTGCTCACTATCACAGATTTTTTCAGATTTGTGAACAATATTTGAGAGAAATGGTTATTTTGTGTTTATAGAAAATGTTTTAGATCTTTGAGTTCATCTCATGAAAAATGGGAGCAAAAACAAAAGTGTTGCATTTATATTTTTGTTCAGTGTAACTGTTGAACTACGCTTTAACTGTTCGGCCAGAGGATTTAATTGGACACCAATAAGAAGAGTGAATCTATGCTATCTGTTGTATGCAACTGACAAAACAAGTTTATAAAATATATACCTGAGAGGAGAGTGCTTGAAGACGGAATCAGATAGGGCCTGTCCCAGCAGACGGGGGCCCGACTGGTGGTGCTGGCTGACCTGGGCCAGGTGTCTGCTCAGGTGGACCAGGAGCTGCTGGTTGGCCTGAGGGATGCTGGGACATTCCAGGATCCTCTTCAGCCTCTCCCCGCACTCCTCCACACTCTGACTCTCTACAAGACAAAAGCAACACCAGAATAGTTTATTTTAGACCATTGAACCTGGGTAATTCATGATTCTTTGAATGTTCTTCTGCAAGGAATTCTGTTTTCAGGACAAGATATATTTGTCCTAGAGCAAACAATTTTCTTTCATTGAAACTAGGAGGACTTTCCTTTGGCAGTATAGTGTACACAATGTTCTTGCTAACAAACCAAAGAAAACACTTTTTGTTGAAGTTCTTGAATATTCTCAAGGAGATAAAATGGTTTCAACTTTTTTTTACATGGACACCCCTAGTTCCCCTCTAAGAAGTGTTATTTTGGCCACACATAGCATTGTTTCCTCTCAAAAGTTTGGCCTATCCTGCATGTTATTTTAAAAGTGTGATGTCAAAAATGTATTCTGAAGGGCCTCCCCACACATGGGACAAAGCCCATGTACTGGGTCTTGGTCCCCAATAGGAGTAACCGGGTTATAATCCGACTGGGGTCCTTTTGCTGCATATTATCCCTTCTGTCTAACCGTTTCCACTCTGTCTCTACAATAAAGGCAATGATTGCCCGATGTTCGGTCAAAGCCAGGAAGTTTCAAAGACAGTATGGAATTCAGTGACCAATAACACCCTTAATGTACAAATGAGAGTGATAAGATTTGAAAAGAAAAATCTGAAACCAACCTTTTGAATCACAAGATATTTTTGCAAAATGAATAGGCACATATTACAGCTGGAAAGACTGTCACTGAAGTGTCAAACAGTTCTATTTAACAGTTGCTTACCTTCATCTAAGGTTATAATCTAACAAACAGGATTCAACTTTACTTTACCTTCAGATCAATTGTTTAACACAAAGAGAACCTTGGTGTATCTTTATGTGAGAAGTAATCAGACATGGGAATATGAAAGCAAATGCATGTGTGTGTCTTAGTGCTTGGTTAACACACTTGATGTTGCATGCATAATCATCTGTCACATTAAAAAAACACTTCACTACTTCACTCATTCACATGGAGCACAGAGCAGACGTCCCCAACTGTGCAGCCTGGTGAGCTGCACCTTCACCAACATCCATCGGAGCATGTTGCCAACTGCTGGCTGACTTTGAGAAGATGTATGGCCCTGGCAGGACATCAGTGATTTAAATTCAGAACCAGTGCAGCAGCCATCACTATGGAGAAAATCACAGGGGCTGCCTATACGGATGCTTGTAAAAATGAGTCAGCGGGAGGTGTGCACGGGATAATACGAGTTCTCTTTCTTGTATTAGCCGGGGTTCAGACAATGGGCCGTGTTTGAAGAGCACCAGACCTATTGACGAGCGCACTCACCACAGGCTCTTTACCACTCCGAAACAAGCTGCAAACAAGAACACAGCTGTGCCTTAGCCATCGCAGGGTTTATGGTGGGGGGGCTACTCAGTGGGGGAGCATTGAACACCAGACTTATCAAGGCCGTTTATCCCTGTCTGCTCAGAGATTCCATTGTTGCTCTTCTTTTTCGATTAATTAAAAAAAACATTTCTTATCAAGTTTTGGAAACGTCTTGGAAAATATGCGTCCTCAGTTTTTTTGTTGAAAACATTTGCAAGCCATGTTTATTGTGACGTTGCCAGGCAACAAGCAAAGACTTTTCAAAGTTACTCAAACAAACAGTCCGGCATTAAGCTCCACATATATATTTTTTTAACCCTGGATCACAGATCAATTAATTACATGGATTTCAATATTCTCCAAGTCATTTTTTAAGTAAAATGTATTCAAGCCTTCATAGTAATATCCACTGTTTATCAATATCATTCATTAACCTTTTTATGTTTTGACAGTATTCACAGCAATAGCATTGGGTAAAGTTTCAATGAAATAAATAAATTGCTAAGGAAAAGTTTGAATAAGAGTTCATCAGAAGGAAGACATAATTAAATGTTCACACTCAAAATAAATCAGATACTGTATGAGTATGATAGCTGAAGTGAATAAAAATGTAAACTCCATAGAAAACTAACAGAACTTTGTTTCTGTCCTTTCCTCACATTAAATGTTTTAAAGTTACAAGGACTGTAGAGTAGGACTTGTATTATGCAAGGGTCTATAATGGTATTTTTCAGTCAAAAGCAGACTTTTGCTTGTAGCACATTATAAACTGTTCAAATTGTATCCTGCCATCTTGACATGCAACTGCTTTGTTTTGTGGAAACAGCCTTACTGGACTACTATTTTACAGTGATTTGGGTAATGCAGAGCTTTGCATGTGTACAAGCTGTATGTATCCATGTGTTAGAATGTTGATATGTATTGATTGACCATGTGAGGAATTGGTGTGTTTGGCCCTCTGTGTGTGAACCGTGTTTGAATCGATCCCAGTAACAGATGCCAACAGAGAGCCGAGGGAACTGTCAGAAGGACTGACTGTATATCTGACAACTGACTGATTGAGTATGGAGAACAAAGAAGGCAAAGAGAGAAATTGCTACAGAGGGGCTCCATATTCCCAGAGACATAAACATTCAAAACTGCGTCATTGGTGCCATACCAGTTTTCAAAAACCCCAATCGGAAAAATGTCCCATTTGACAGAAAGCCAATTTTTCCTAATGTCAGTTACCCCGAAAACAAGCGACCATTGCTCCTTAGCCCCATCGCTCCAAAACAAACTCTTAGCGGGCACAGGAGCAACTCCTATTTAGTATTTGTCATGGTGGGGAAGGCCTGACCCTCCCTTATTTGTGTCTTTATTGAACAAGGATCATGCATAAAATACATAAATCTCAAAGAGAGAAAATATGCTTTAGGCCAGATTATAGTTTAAAGCCATTTTCCATGTGCAGTCCCTTGACAGGTACATGCATGACAATCAACAAACGCTTAAAACAGTTATTTGTCTCTCACACTATCAATTACGCACAGATGTAGAAAATATATATCACCACATTTATCAGTACAACTATAAGATTGCAATGATCTAAATCACAGTCAAATTAATGTTGAAAAGACTAGTTGCCTAATATCATTCCTGTTGCACCATGGGAAAAACAGTGAAAGTGTGTGCACGTTTAAAGCTTAGCTGGAAGCATATTCCAATGCCTGATGGTCGCAAATAAAAAAGCTGATTGTGCAAAGGCAGTATGTCTCAGTGGGATAAGTCTGCGTCTACGGCAGATCCTGAGGTTCTGCCCATTTGCATAGAGCAGAGCTTGAAAACTATTCTTAATGGTGGTAGTATGATTGTAAATCATTTTGAATACCAAACTAACTTTAGCCCCACCACATACGGGAAACAGCGATGGGGTCGGGTGCGCTGCCAGAAGGGTGGCAGTGAAAGGAGAGGGTATCAACGGACCAGACCCGGGCGACAGAAGCTGGCTTTGGGGACGTGGAACGTCACCTCTCTGGGGGAGAAGGAGTCGGAGCTTGTGCGGGAGGTGGAGCGTTACCAGTTGGATCTGGTTGGGCTCACCTCTACGCACAGCGTCGGCTCTGGAGCCTTACTTCTGGATAGGGGTTGGACTCTATTCTTCTCCGGAGCTGCCCAAGGTGTGAGGCGCCGGGCGGGTGTGGGGATACTCACAAGCCCCCGGTTGGGTACTTCTTTGTTGGAGTTTACCCCAGTGGACGAGAGGGTTGCCTCCCTACACCTGCGGGTTATGGAGGGGAAAACTCTGACTGTTGTGTGTGCTTATGCACCCAACAGCAGTTCAGAGTATTCAGCCTTCTTGGAGACCCTGGAAAGAGTCATGTATGGGGCTCCTGAAGGGGACTCTTTAATCTTGAAGGGAGACCTCAACGCACATGTGGGCAATGATGGAGACACTTGGAGGGGCATGATTGGGAGGAACGGCCCCCCTGATCTGAACCGGAGTGGTGGTTTGTTACTGGACTTCTGTGCTAGTCATGGATTCGCCAAAACAAATACCATGTTCGAACATAAGGATGCTCATAAGTGTACGTGGTACCAGAGCACCCTAGGCAGAAGGTCCATGATCGATTTCGTTATCGTATCATCGGACCTGAGGCCGTATGTTTTGGACACTCGGGTAAAGAGGGGCAGAGTTGTCAACTGATCACCATCTGGTGGTGAGTTGGGTCGAGTGACGGGGGAAGCCTCTGGACAGACCTGGTAAGCCCAAACATGTAGTGCGGGTGAACTGGGAACATCTGGAGGAGGCCCAAGTTCAGGAGGCCTTCAACTCACACCTCCGGCGGAGCTTTTCGGGCATCCCTGTGGAGGCTGGGGACATTGAACCAGTGGGCGGTGTTCAAAGCCTCTATTGCCAAAACTGCGGCGGGGAGCTGTGGTCTCAAGGTCTTAGGTGCCTCAAGGGGCGGTAACCCTCAAACCTCCTGTTGGACACCGGTGGTCAGGGAAGCCGTCCGACTGAAAAAAGGAGACCTTCAGGGTTTTGTCATACCGGACTCCCGTGGCCGAGGCAAAGCAACGGTTGTGGGAGAAGTTCGGAGAAGACATGGAAAAGGACTTTCGGGCAGCACCAAAGTTGTTCTGGAAAACTGTCCGACACCTCAGGAGGGGGAAACAGGGAACCATCCAAGCTGTGTACAGTAAGGATCGGACGCTGTTGACCTCAACTGATGGAGTGTTAGGGCATTGGAAGGAACACTTTGAGGAACTCCTGAACCCGAGAACTTCACCCTCCGCCCTATGGTAGAGGCAGAGCTGGAGTATGACAGGGGATCAACACCAATCTCCCGGGGGGAGGTCACTGAGGTAGTCCACAGTGGCAAAGCCCCGGGGGTGGATGAGATCCGCCAATAAATGCTGAAGGCTCTGGGTGTTGAGGGACTGTCATGGTTGACACGTCTCATCAACGTTGCGTGGAAGTCGGAAACAGTACCGAAGGAGTGGCAGACCGGGGTGGTGGTTCCCCTTTTCAAAAAGGGGGATCAGATGGTGTGTGCCAATTATAGAGGCATCACACTACTCAGCCCCCCCGGGAAAGTTTACTCTAAGGTACTCGAAAGGAGTGTCAGGCCGATTGTCGAACCTCAGATTGAGGAGGAAC